GATCTTTGTAAAAGTTCCAATGAAATGTCACATTAATTGCATCCGTGTCCATTTACCTAACAGTAATGAAGGTCCCAGGACAGAAACGTCTTCAGCTAGTGTCCTGAGTAAACGAATTCATGCACATTTTTTCTGTACAGGTTCTGATCTCACTTCCTGTGATATATACACCCTTTGCAATGACCTTTGTCTGTCCATTTGCTTGCAACATCACTCTTACATTTGCCAGAGGGGAAGGTAGTGCATCACACTGCTCTTTATTTGCTCTCCACTGAGCTGCTTAACACCATTTCCTGTATCCTCTCTTGCTCTGTCTCCTTCCTCCCTGTATCCTCTCTTGCTCTGTCTCCTTCCTCCCTGCTTCCGTCGTTTAGCATTCTCATTTCCTTTACTTATTCTGTGTCTTGAACGGCTAACGCCCTGTTGAAATATAGGTTATATCTTACTTGATTTTAGACGTACTTACTGCATGTTCATCGATACTGTTGGAAATAAGTCACTGTCTGACCTTTTTTGGGGTATCTTAGGTAATTTACACTACGTATGATAATTGTACCTATGTCTACCTGCGCCTCAATAAACTTACACGTTAGTTTTATCATCCATGTCATTCTTACACACTGGCATAACTTGCCTGAATTTGTACATCTCTCTTAAAATTTAACTGAGGTTGTGATCCGAATGCGAAAGATTTTCTCGTTTCTGATATGTTATCCTTATTCTGACCAGACTTTATATATAAATAGTTTATCGTATAATTGGTATACTATACTGACAAGTTCAGGGAGACATGTTAAATACTAGATATCTTACTGACGAAAAAATTCCCTTTCATTGCATTGCAACAGTCGGATACAGAGATGAATAACAGTGCTGGAGACAGACGAGATTTGGAGATGGTTTGATGTAATCAGTCCCTCAGAATTGATAGGTGATAATCAGTCTCAACTGGTGTTTATGAAACATCAGTGATAACACTTGAGCATCGAGCGTGGGGAAACCAACGCTCCGAGAGTTTACGATGCCATCCCTTCTATTGAGATGGAGCACAACTCTTCTCCAAGCCGAGGACTGACCATCTCAAAACTTCAAGGGTGATAGACTGATGACATCGTCTTCACATCTCTACTTCTTCTACTGACTCTTCTGTACTCGACTGAAGAAGCCTGCTGTGTAGGCGAAACGTTTCGGAATAACGATATCTAACTGCTGCACATAGTTACCCTTCATAAGTAAGACACTATGCTTCTTTGTTATATTCCATCACATGCTGTAGTTTTTTTTAAATAGGGTAAAAATATATGCTTCTCTAAGCTGGGAAACTTCAGTAAGGTTACGAGGATATCGTCAAGCAATCCACTTGGGTCCAACAGCTACAACAGCTTCAGAAGTCCCCTTCCAGCAGAGCTGGAGTTAATATCACGGGATAATTATAATCTCTCATCAAAGAGGGTGCTGATGTTCTATGTAGGGATGTGTCAGTGTTCATGTGGGGCCAACCAAGCTTATATCTCCTCACGAACCTTGAAGGAAAGATTACGACACATGTGTAACAGTTGGGTATCTTTATTTATGTGTGAGAAGGGTTGGATTCCAGCTGAACCTGCCTTCTTTCTTCCACTAGTGGATCCCGTCCCCTACAACGGGATCCACTAGAGGAAGAGCACCGTAGTCCTCAAGACTACGGTACTCTTTACCAATTTCAAGGCTGAGAGACTGTATACAGTTCTACATTCACCTTATGTCCTTGTATTTTATTGATAAAGCCACTGGATGGCGAAATACCTACAAATAAAAATACCCATATGTTGCACATGTGTCTAATTCTTCACCCTGTCGGTAATATACACCGACAAGATGAAAGACAGAATTAGTATTCCTCTGAACGTAAACACAACAACAGCTACTGGAGGTCTTTACAAGTGTGTGGGGAACCAGGTGGTCGTTCAAACACACCAGCTTGTTGACTAGCTTCAGTCCAATTTTCCAGCTGAATGGAGGACTCATGAGGCTGCTACGTGAGCTCTTTGAGACCCATCACTGCCAGAGTCCTGGAATGCTGGAAGGAAAACAGGCGGGAGCTCTACGCCTTAAACACAAAGAGAATTAGAAGCACATCTTACATTACGCTATTTCTGAGAGCTGTACCACCCGCAGGTGTAGTGTTGATATATCAAGGTCTGCCATAAGAACATGAGGAGGAACACTGCAGCAGGCCTACTGGCCCATATTAGACAGGTCCTTCTCTAACCCAAACCCACTAACAAAAATATTTGTCCAACCCATTTTCAATGCTTCCGAGAGTACGTACACACACACACACACACACACACACACACACACACACACACACACACACACACACACACACACACACACACACACCTGACATAAGAAAGACATGGAAATATTCTCATGAGATCGTTATTTTTGAGTCTGGGAATAAATGGATGGAAGAGTAGGTGGGTAAAAGCGTGAGTAAAGGAAGGACGAAAGTGAATAAAAGATAGAGTGAAAGAGAAAGCTGTAAAAGAGAGAATTCAATAAGATAGGGAGTGAGAGAGTAAAAAGGAAAGAAAATGAAAATAAGGAGAATCAAGACCTAACTCACCCCCTAATATCATCCCACCCACTCCCTTCTCCCCACCCACTCCACGCCCACGCCACGCCCACATTATCATACCGAGAGAACCCTTGTAATTTGCCAGAAATGTTATTGTACTCTGAACTTTGTGCATAAATTTATATTTCACGAGTGATTTCTCATATCTAACATGTCAGTGACATGATCTGCTCATATAAACATGATTTATATCTTAAAATGCTCTGTTAATATACTTATGTAAATTTTCTTAAAGATTATGTTGTCGGCGTAATAAGGATTTATAAATGTTACCTGTAACCGCTGTGACCTGTAACTGCTGTGACCTGCAACTGCTGTGACTTGTAACTCCTGTGACCTGTAAATGCTGTGACCTGTAACTGCTATGACCTGTAAATGTTGTGACCTGCAACTGCTGTGACCTGCAACTGCTGTGACCTGTACCTGCTGTGACCTGCAACTGCTGTGACCTGCAACTGCTGTGACCTGCAACTGCTGTGACCTGTAACTGCTGTGACCTATTTAATTCTATGAACAATGAACGTAGTGACTTAGAAACACCACAAGTATAAACACAACTATAAACACAAACACCAAAAGTATAAACACAACTATAAACACAAACACCACAAGTATAAACACAACTATAAACACAAACACCACAAGTATAAACACAACTATAAACACAAACACCATAAGTATAAACAAACACCACAAGTATAAACACACTATAAACACAAACACCACAGTATAAACACAACTATAAACACAACACCACAAGTATAAACACAACTATAAACACAAACACCACAAGTATAAACACAACTATAACACAAACACCACAAGTATAAAACAACTATTAAACACAAACACCACAGTAAAAACACAACTATAACACAAACACCACAAGTATAAACACAACTATAAACACAAACACCACAAGTATAAACACAACTATAAACACAAACACCACAAGTATAAACACAACTATAAACACAAAACACCATAAGTATAAAAAAACACCACAAGTAAAAAACACAACTATAAACACAAACAAACCCCAAGTATAAACACAACTATAAACACAAACACCACAAGTATAAACACAACTATAAACAAAAAACACCACAAGTATAAACACAAAAAACCACAAGTATAAACACAACTATAAACACAAACACCACAATAAAAAACACAAATATAAACACAAACCCACAAGTAAAAACAAACTATAAACACAAAACACCACAAGTATAAACCCCAAACACCACAAGTTAAACACAACTATAAACACAAACACCACAAGTATAAACACAACTATAAAAAACAAAACACCACAAGTATAAACACAAACACCACAAGTATAAACACAACTATAAACACAAACACCACAAGTATAAACACAACTATAAACACAAACACCACAAGTATAAACACAACTATAAACAAAAAACACCACAAGTATAAACAACTATAAACACAAACACCACAAGTATAAACAACTATAAACACAAACACCACAAGTATAAACAACTATAAACACAAACACCACAAGTTAAAAAACAAACTATAAACACAAACACCAAAAGTATAAACACAACTATAAACACAAAACACCACAAGTTAAAACACAAACACCACAAGTATAAACACAACTATAAACAAAACACCACAAGTAAAAACCCACAACTATAAAACACAAAACACCACAAGTATAAAACAACTATAAACACAAACACCACAAGTATAAACAACTATAAACACAAACACCACAAGTATAAACAACTATAAACACAAAACCACAAGTATAAACACAACTATAAACACAAACACCACAAGTATAAACACAACTATAAACACAAACACCACAAGTATAAACACAACTATAAACACAAACACCACAAGTATAAACACAACTATAAACCCCAAACACCACAAGTATAAACACAACATAAACACAAACACCACAAGTATAAACACAACAAAAAAACCCACAAACACCACAAGTATAAACACAACTATAAACACAAACACCACAAGTATAAACACAACTATAAACCAAACACCACAGTATAAAACACAACTATAAAACCAAACACCACAAGTATAAAACACAACTATAAACACAAACACCACAAGTATAAACACAACTATAAACACAAACACCACAAGTATAAACACAAACACCACAAGTATAAACACAAACACCACAAGTATAAACACAACTATAAACACAAACACCACAAGTATAAATATAAACAAAACACTGATCTATACATCATCGTTCAGGTAAAACATTCACATGACAAACATCTGCCATAATGTACGCATTTGTTATTCTTTTGTCATGTTTACTGCTTTCTTATGTAAGATCAAACTCCATATTTTCCTCTCTCAGTAGCACCACCTGGAGCACCATCTGAAGCACCACCTGGAGTACCACCTGGAGCACGATCTGGTGCACTACCTGGAGTACCACCTGGAGCACTACCTGGTGCACCACCTGGAGCACTACCTGGAGCACCACCTGGAGCACTACCTGGTGTACCACCTGGAGCACTACCTGGTGCACCACCTGCAGCACCACCTGCAGCACCGACTGCCTCATATCTGGAACCTCGTCTTCAGTTTTTCTTATGGAGAATTTGTTTATTCTGTGAATTGTCTTTAAGATAATTTTAGAGAGAGTGAGTCAGGATTAATGAGTTTATTCATGGCTGGTTTTAAAAAGTTTTCTTCCTTTCCATTAGGGTGTGTGTACTCACCTATTTGTGGTCGCAGGGGTCGAGACTCAGCTCCTGGCCCCGCCTCTTCACTGGTCGCTACTAGGTCCTCTCTCTCCCTGCTCCATGAGCTCTATCATACCTCGCCTTAAAACTATGTATGGTTCCTGCCTCCACTACATCACTCTCCAGATTTTTCCACTTCCTGACAACTATATGACTAAAGAAATACTTCCTAACATCCCTGTGACTCATCTAAGTCTTCAGCTTCCAGTGGTGACCCCTTGTTGCTGTGTCCCATCACTGGAACATCCTGTCCCTGTCTACCTTGTCTATTCCTCGCAGTATTTGATATGTCGTTATCATGTGTGTGTGTGTGTGTGTGTTGTGTGTGTGTGTGTGTGTGTGTGTGTGTGTGTTTGTGTGTGTTTGTGTTTTACTGCAGTGCATGTGTCACTGGTGTACACGTCACTGCAGGGGAAATAAGAGAATTACTTCTTTATGTATACACCAAAAAATGCATAATTACACATGTACACGCACCCCATCATTCCCCCTTGTATACAATACCCAAAAATACGACTGATTTATTACTGCTAATACAGATTCATCGAGGGCAGAGGGGCCAAGAGCTACAGTCCGTCATTTTCTGTGGGATAAAATCGTTCTAAAAACACTTGCAGTGAATGTCAGTTGGTGGTTATGTTAGTATTACGAATGACTCAGTGAGCCGACATGTTGATGAACGAGACGTATGTGCAACACTGCTTCTCCAGTCAGTGGCTTCCTCGGTCCAATACAGAGATGAATGATGGAAGATGTGAGGGAACTTGAAGCGATCAGTCCCTTAGCCTGGAGTCAATGGACTGATTACATCGACTCTAGGCTGAGGGACTGATTATATACCACCTTCCCACCATTATATATATATATATATATATATATATATATATATATATACACACAGTTGATAAAAATATGAGAGAATATTCTCCCTGGAAGATCCCACAAGTGACTATGGGGAATCGGGTTGGGCTGACAATAGAGGCTTGTGTCTGAAACTCTCCATTATCCATCTTGGATAATTCTCGAGTAAAGTACGCAAAGGATTCTCATTAACTCTGAAAATTTGGCAAATTCTCAATGTGTGAATGTTACATATCCCGAGCCTCGGTTCGTATCTGATATTATCACAAAATTGAGGGTCGTTAACCCAGTCCTTGTTACAAGCATACAGACGTATCCAATTAGCAGACGTGACGATATAGTTAGCGTAGAAATTTCCGATCGTAAACTAAGGCAAATTATAAGATCTAATTTGTTAAACTGTTATTTCTGACAGAGTAGTCATTTCTTTGGCCGGGTAGTCATTTCTCTGGCAAGGTAGTCATTTGTCACGTTAGTCATTTTTCTGGCAAGGTAGTCATTTCTTTGGCCGGGTAGTCATTTCTCTGGCAAGGTAGTCATTTGTCACGGTAGTCATTTCTCTGGCAAGGTAGTCATTTCTTTGGCCAGGTAGTTATTTCTCTGGCAAGGTAGTCATTTCTTTGGCCAGGTAGTTATTTCTCTGGCAAGGTAGTCATTTCTTTGGCCAGGTAGTCATTTCTCTGGCAAGGTAGTCATTTCTTTGGCCAGGTAGTCAGTTCTCTGGCAAGGTAGTCATTTCTTTGGCCAGGTAGTTATTTCTCTGGCAAGGTAGTCATTTCTTTGGCCAGGTAGTTATTTCTCTGGCAAGGTAGTCATTTCTTCCCCATCCCAAGCTGGTACCGACAGTCATGTCAGCTCTTCCCTCTGGCTGCTACGATGAAGTTAAGTTTCTGCGTCGTGTTTATACTAATATTAATTAAATGCGAAGCACGAACTTTCTGATAGTCTGAAAGATGTGCGACCCCAGACTGACGTCAATGCTGATGCAGTCTGAAAGAGGTGCGACCCCAGACTGACGTCAATGCTGATGCAGTCTGAAAGAGGTGCGACCCCAGACTGACGTCAATGCTGATGCAGTCTGAAAGAGGTGTGATCCCAGACTGACGTCAATGCTGATGCAGTCTGAAAGAGGTGCGACCCCAGACTGACGTCAATGCTGATGCAGTCTGAAAGAGGTGTGATCCCAGACTGACGTCAATGCTGATGCAGTCTGAAAGAGGTGTGACTCCCAAACTGACGTCAGTGCTGATGTAGTCTGAACCAGGTCTCAATGCGAGTTCGTTTAGTACAAATTAGATTAGGGCAAATTTCGATTTAGTGCAAAATTCACTAATGCTAGTCACCCCCTCCCCCCCCAAAAAAAAAATGATAGTGGCAAAAATGACCTATAATCCGAAAAATGCGACTTCACGCATTATTCACAATAACCGAGACCCACTATAATGGGTCTCGATGTCTCTTATCAGAGTCATTGTCTCGTAGTCTCGTACATTTCGTTCTGAAACATAACGAAATTATACTGATAACAGCGCTATGACAAAAAATATATTGTGACGCTTGACACGTCTATTGTAACGTAATTTAAACGTAAATAACTAGTTAGAAGCAAGGTAAGGTAAGGTAAAGTAAGGTAAGATAACGTAAGGTGAGGTTAAGTAAGATTAGGTAAGGTTAAGTAAGGTTAGGTTAGGTAAGGTTAAAGATTGAGACACTTATGCAGCATATGGGAATCTTTATTCAGGAAACGTTTCGCCACACAGTGGCTTCATCAGTCCAATACAAAGAGGAAGGCGTAAGGAGAGGAGGAGTATGAGGTAATCAGTCCCTCAACCTGGAGTCGATGTGTTCAGTCCATCAATCTTGTAGAATGTACAGCATAGGGCCGTAGACGTGGCTTATATACTGTAGTGAGGTGAGGTGAAGCAGACGGAGGCGGGATCATAGTGGTACCATCCACTAGTCGAAGTAGGTCTTCGTCCAAAGGTTGAACAAGTGTTGAAGAATTATTTGTAACAAGATCCCATGATGCTGCAGTGTCTGACAGATGTGATGAATGGTTTGAAAAACCGACAAGTTGAAGATTGAGACACTTATGCAGCATATGGGAAACTTTATTCAGGAAACGTTTCATCACATCTGTCAGACACTGCAGCATCATGGGATCTTGTTACAAAGAATTCTTCAACACTTGTTCAACCTTTGGACGAAGACCTACTTCGACTAGTGGATGGTACCACTATGACCCCGCCTCCGCCTGCTTCGCCTCACCTCACTACAGTATATAAGCCACGTCTACGGCCCTATGCTGTACATTCTACAAGATTGATGGACTGAACACATCGACTCCAGGCTGAGGGACTGATTACCTCATACTCCTCCTCTCCTTATGCCTTCCTCTTTGTATTGGACTGATGAAGCCACTGTGTGGCGAAACGTTTCCTGAATAAAGATTCCCATATGCTGCATAAGTGTCTCAATCTTCAACTTGTCGGTTTTTCAAACCATTCATCACACAGGTTAGGTTAGGTCAGGTCAGGTCAGGTCAGGTCAGGTCAGGTCAGGTCAGGTCAGGTCAGGTCAGGTCAGGTCAGGTTTGGTTCGGTTAGGTTTGCCAGGAAACAGGACGTGAGTCTTAGTCATATATGGTGACCCACAATTGGAGCTTTCGGTCATCTGACTGAGGCCTTCCGCTGGCTCCCCCCTTCAAAAATTCTGATCATAGTTATAACCCTGTTACATCTAATAATATTATTATTATTGAAAATGGCAGTTCTTTATTGAATTTATATTCTCGACGATTTTAATGAATTTGCAGGTGTATTAATGATACTAAAAGGCTGTGTCGTCCTAATTAACATTAATATAATAGCGTAATTTGCTAATGTAAGAGCGGGTTGCCATTTTCACTGGGGCTTCTAACTGTCCCTCCCATTAAGAATGGGGGAGTTTAGGGGTGGACTGGTAAGCCAGTGGAAGGACTCGGTCAGATGACCAAAAACTCCAGCTGCTGGTCATCATATGACTAAGTCCCGCGTCAGGAAACACTTGTCCTGTTTCCTGACAAACCTTACCTAACCTCACCTGATGAAAGTCTCTAAACCCATTCCCCACTTGCTGTATGACACCTTTCGCACGTTTTCTTGCGCCAATAGTTGCTATTCTCATCTCTAGTTCAATCCTCATGACAATAAAATACAGGTTTACGCTTCTGAACGACAATATGGTGTCGGAAATTCTTTTTAAGAGGGAGAAATGCAATCAGTCTGTCGGCCCGAAATTGTGGATCAGCTGGACCAAGGATCGCATCCTTACCGATGCCATTATTCTTTCTCTCGTAAACTCAAATGGTATTATCATGTTATATCCTCCGGATTTTCTTTTGCTTCTCTCGTCTCTGTGGAAAGTCGTGAAGCCGAGAGAATGAAGGTGTTTTACTGCACTTTCCAGCACGGGGAAGATGTGGTGATATTGTACAAGTACACCTCGAGTTGCTGGATACTGGAAGCTGGAAACAGTGTGGTGCTGCTACGTAATTGTATGCAGATTGTTGAGTTCCTTAGAGTCAGTATTTTACTCCTCTCTCTTCCTACCCCCTCACTCATCTCCCCTTCCTCCTACCCTATCGTTCTTTCTATCCGTTTGTCCTATCTCCTTTCAACCTCTTCCAACCCTCTCGTCTCTTTTTTAAGTTTTCACCTGTTTCCATATCTTGGTTGGCACTGGTTTGTGAGTCTTAGGATTCACTTGCCATGGTTCAAACCCCATCCGTTCCATGGCTTATTTATTGGTTCATTTGAAAGTCCACCCATAGCAATATCTATTATATTTATTGTTGTGCTTAAAGGGAAATCAAAGGCCGAGATAATTCACTTCTAGTTTATTGACCCGACGTCATAACAAACAATAGATCCCAGAAACGAAAGTATAAATGATATAAACACAAGATGACGCATGGGATTAAATTATACTTTAATCCTATGTTAAAGGATTACATTAACTGCTGTCACCTCTCAATATCCGGTACGG